CTCAATCGATCTTCCTCGTGCAGTCCTTAGTGGGCCGGGCCTCGAACCCTCCCCCATTACCTCTCCTCTCGAGCGAGTAATCCATATAAGTCCCGAGCATACGGTCCCACATCACGAAAAACGGCTGCGAAAAATTGTACTTGTTCCCGTACAGCTGGTGGTGAACGTCGTGATAAGCCGAGTTATTTCTAAAGAGGAAGTGGAAAAAATTCCTGGGCAGCCACAACCCACAATGATCATCCACGGTTTTCAAAGTCGCGAACGAGAAGAAGAAAATCGAGGCTCGTGGGGACATTCCCGAGACAAGAAAGGCGAGGGCCCCACCACAGGTGTCGAGGAGGAGGCCCTCGATGGGGTGGTTGTAGAGTGCTCCGAAAGCGTAAGGCACTATTAGGCGGTGGTGTTGGGAGTGGATGTGTCGGTAGAGGAATTTGTTGTGGTGCAAGTATCGATGCATGAAGTACTGCCACGTGTCGAGGACTAGCATGGCCACGAGGAATTGGCGGGCGAGTGTGATTAGGGAAGAAGCCGGTGGTTCGTGTTGTTCTGTGGCGGTGTTTGAGTTTGAGTCGGTGCTCGTGACCTGAAAAAACGGTGGGAAAGTGTTAGTTCGTTTTTACGTAAATAGGCGAGTTATTTTCGTAAAATATTTAGAATTTTGGGATGAAAAATTGGTAAGTTGTCGAGATTTTCTTTTTCCGAACTTTATGATATTCATAGTTTGTGATGTTTTGTGTAGGTTGACCGGACTCGCGTCGAGCTTGAGTGGCTCGAGTATGTTATCGAGTCGATCTCGAGCATAGGTTTTAGAAGGTCGAGCCGCTGCTCGAGATATGTAGTAAATTACTAAAATACCCTTTCTATATGAATTTTACAATGTTTTAATATGTACTGGTAATTTTACTTGAAATTTGAGTCGAACTCGAGCCGAGCTCGAGCAATTGTCTTATTCTGTCGAGTCGATCTCGAGTGTCATAAATCGAGCTCGACGAGGAGGTAAAAGAAAAAAATCAATCTTGCTCGATAAGGCCAATGCTCGACTCGGCTCGGTTCGTTTGCAGCCCTAGTCCCTTGGGAAACTTTTACAAGACCGGCAAAATATGTATGCTTTGTGTAACAAATTATACAAGATTATAATCAATATTATGGTTTGCCAAATCGATTTACAGCATGACATGTTGGTTATGTCACATATGCATGAATGGTTAATCATATTGCATATGCAANACATCATGAGATAAAAAATGAGTTCAAGAAATACTAGAACAAAGGCACCCATGTTTTATCTAAAAGCTTCTACAACTGCAAATAAGAGCTAAAAATAATGACTCGGCAGAGAAAAAGAACGCTCAGTGAGTGAAACTACAAATCACACATTGCATCGACACGTGTTAATTTTTTTTGCCTAATTCATTGCGCGAAAGCATCCCAAACTTTTGGGGAACACTAATTGTCAATTCAGAGTATTAGAAGTTAGTGATTTGCCATAAAAGGTTAGGCATTTGATGCATTCGTGTTGGCAGCTAGATTTAGAATTTGCACAGAAACTGACAAATGGACAAAAATCATCAAAAAGAAGTTCCTATGTTCTAATTATTAGCACGAACACAAGGTCTTTCCAGCTAATATCTCAATAATTAGTATCACTTCTAAAACACACAACAACATCAATAGTGATTCAAAGATCAGATAACCGAAGCCAAAAAACCTTATGCGTCTTGGAAAAAATCACTTACGATTAAATTCTAGATAGAGTTCATGGTGTCTGAAAACATAGAATTATAGACCACATATATCTGACATCAAATTATAGAACTTCCACATAGACACTAAATTCTAATCATGCAAATTTTGCAAAAAAACACACAACTAAACTAAAACACACACACACACACACACACACACACTTCAATTTACAAAAATCCATATGCAGCCCATCTCAGCAAATGACCAAACAATTCATTGCACATAGACACTAAATTCTAATCATGTAAATTTTGCAAAAAACACATAAATAAACTAAAACCAGCACGCATGCACACACATACACTTCAATTTACAAAAATCTTTATGCAGCCCATCTCAGCAAATGACCAAATAACACCTCCACAGTCAAAAGGTGCAATACAGATTCATCCACAGAGCATAAAAAATGTCAGCTTTAAAAATACCCTAAAATCGATTTCCCAAAGATTAAAAAACTCACAGCAAAGAGGATTGTGGCCACAACAGCCTGAACCGCCTGCTGGAGAAGAACGCCCTTGATCACATCTCTCTTGGACACCAAGTTCTTCTCATCTTCATCTTTCCTCGAGTGAAGCCTGTAGTTATCGAGCGAGCCCAGCAAAACGTACAAACCCGAGTAAGCCCAGTACACGATTATCGGCGCCACGGTCCCCAGCAGCTCGTCCGACAAATTCCAGCTCAACATCCCTAGTAATTTTCAAGGCAATTCGAGGGTTTGCGTTTGGATAAAAATTGAATCTTGACTACGGAAAAGAGGGGGTAAAAGCAGTAGAAGATTAAACAACAAACCCTAGAATCAGATGAAGAAAGTGGGATCAAATTGGGATGGAGAGGGTGAAATCAGTAATGGAGGTGTGTTGGGATTTTTTTGTCCCGATCTTTAGTCTTATGAAACGTGGAAACACACTTTGAAAAAGCAACTTTTATACTCTCTTTTTTCCTTTTTTTTTTT